TATTTGGCTGTTTGCATCAATTTCCTCACCCTGAGTGCCTGCTCAGCTTGTCGACACCTCCTCATAGCTGCCGAATCCTCGCATATGATCTTCCTCCATGTCCTGCTCACTTGCCTACAACTATAAGGGGAAAAATGGGATTATGCTACAGTAAAAACAAAATAATATTCTGATTAGGGCTGCAACTAACGATTATTTTGCAAAATCTGTTAATCTGTTGATAATTTTTCCAATTCAGTGATTAATAATCGGATATCCAAAGGTTCCTTTTTTATCTTAAATGCAAATTGTACAATTTACCGAAGGTATAATTACTGCTTTAAGTGGGTTTCCCTGTCAGCTAAAGGCATATTTTAGAGTCTCTAAACTCCAGTTAACGATTAATCGATTACTAAATTAGTTGACGATTATTTCAACAATCGATTTATTGTGATTAGTTGTTTAGCCCTAATTCTGATATTTAAAAAAATCGTATTATCAATCCTACATGTTTCTCCTTTTACCTGATTAGGTCCATGTCTCCCAACATGGCCAGGATGTTTGTCAGGATGATTTTCATGTTCCTGACGAGCAGAGATGTAAACATGTCGATGTGCTCTAGGCCAATTTGTCCTCCGATTATACGATCCAAAAGATGATCCTCCGCTATCTTTGGGATGACACTCCAGTCATACCTGCAACATCCAACTTCCATTAAACTCAAACTACAAATATTATCCCTTTATCAGTTATCACTCTTTAAAATAACATGTTCCTGCGGTATTAAAATATTACCTCTTATTCTTCTTGTAGCTCTTAGCGAGCTCTTCACAAACATCCTGCTGGAAACGTAGAATGGGCAGGTTGGATCTGTGTTGATTTGCTGGGGTGGACGACATAGCCCCCGTTGCCCTTTTATGTCGATCTACAGGTGTGTGAACCGAAAGGGTCCCTGGAAGGCTGAGTCTAGCCGATCCCTGACATTTTGTGGGGGAATTATTTGCTGAAACAGTCTTTCCCCGGTGTATCCCAGCTATAACTTCACCTTCCTCATCTACATGGTGATCAATATGACTGTTGATCAAAGATAAATAACCACTGTCTTCAAAAAATTCATCCGAGATCCCATCCTGTTCCCTGTTGGTGCTGTTTTCCTTGTTGTGAACTGTACTGGTGTCACTCTTGATGGGGAATAGTTCAGTGGTCACTCCGGCTGGGGAATGCTGGGGTTTAATGGGGGATGGCTCCTTCTTTGGGGAATCTTTAGGGTAAAGCACTTTAGCTTCTGCAGCAGCTAAGCTTTTCTCCATCGTGCTCTCCTTTGTAGATCTGATCATGGGACATTTCATGGTTAAATTAAACATTTGCTCCCACTGAGCAGTTATTGTGATCCCTGCAAAGACACAGGAGGAGAAATGTCAGGCCTGCATAGATGCTGTAGCATGACCAAGGCTCATCAACTAGCATAGCTTCTGCAGAGGTTTAAATACAATAAAGAAAAAAGCATTTCCAGTGCACACATAACATGTAACTTGTCTTAACATCGATCTTATATCATCGATCAAACTGTACATTTTGTTTAAAACAGGACTGATTTTGGCGCGATGCGGATTTGGCGGCGGAAAGATGACGTAAAACAATCTGCTGGTATTTCCCACACTTTAAAACAAAGGATTAATAACAGAAAATAAGCTTTGCATTAGGTTAGTGGATTTAATAATGATGCTTATAAGAAATAGTCCCATGGGGAAGTGCATTAAGCGGACGCATTTGGCGCTCTAAGTCACAGTAGCATGTAACAAGCTAAACATAAGCATAGAGTGATGCTTGATTTTAAATGTCGGTTATTTTCTGCGATGCTGTGTGCAGTACATGAACCCAGAAAAGCAAAAAAAAAAAAGACAAAAACAACGGAGCTAATTACACAGTGCCATGCTAACAGAACCCGAAACTGCCTCGATAACAATATAAAATGTCGGTTTTTAGCTTGAAGTTTATTTAAAAAACACTCATACCTTGAGTTATTCTGCTAAAGTAACGTCGAGGAAGTATCCCTTTTTTCTGTACTTGAAGCTCTGTCCACGTTTCTCTCTGTCCGCCAGACAGCCGCTTCACAAAATTAAAATCCTCTTTCTCAGTAATAAATCCGCCCGTTTCTGCTTCTATTTGAAATCCGTGCGCAAAGGCGCAAACCAATCAGGTTGCAGCAGAAAGCTGCCGCGTTCCAGCGTGGACCAATTAGATTTCAGGTTGGGCGGAAGTGGTGCAACAGGGTTCTACTCCGAAGTGAAACATGAAAACAGATGTGTAGTGACGAAAGGGAAAATAACTTGAACTGAGGCTAGAGTCAGTTGAACATTTTTATGACCTATATAAAAAATTGTTGATGGAAAAATATGCAGGAAGTGATTGACCATTTAGAATGTAAAGTAATATGTTTTAATTTTAATGCACATAGCAAAGTGTGGGATAGGGGTAAAGAGTAGAATGGATTACTGATTGAAGAATTTGTTCAAATAATTCAATGTGTTTAAATGATGGCAGTGGAACAAATTTAACATATAGGGTGGAAGGGATCAGCTATGAATCTAACATTACAATCAATCAGTTGCAAGGAGTTTTGTTTTCGCAAGGTTGATAAAGACATTAATAAAGAGTGATATTAGCTAACAGATATTAAACTGGGTCTTAATATTGAGAAGGTATACACAGGAGTGGGAGATTGCTGTTTTAGAAGAGTTAAGTGGGATAGACTCAGTTATATCTGTGATAAAGAGATGGAAAAAGTCAATATGCATGTAATGATTTATAATGCAATATACATCAGGTACTATGTAGTGTAAATTTGTGGGCAGAAAGACAGACCTTAAGGAGTGAAGATTATTTTGTAAGGAGGAAACAGTGTTTTTATAATGTGCAATGGCAAACAGAAGTTTGCAATGGTATGAAAAGTGATAAAAGGCACTAAGAAGAGATACTATAGGGAGAAGAGGATTAATAAAGCATGTCTGGGGAATAATTAGGAGGATGTAAGTGGCAATCATGACATTTAACTTCGATAGAGGTATATTTTAGAAAATAAGGGTAAAGCAGAACTTTTAGCTCAGCATTTTGTTAAATTCTAGTTTAGATAATCGGAGGGAGTTATGTTATGTGTAATTTAGAGGCTATACAGACTCAGACATGTATAACAGATATACACAGCACAGTAAAGGCTACCTGTGCTAATTTTTATCAGACATGTTAAATGTTGTGAAAAACAACTGTTGCATGCTTGGGTAAGACAAACACTAAAAAGGAACTGGAAGGGGGTTGTCAAAAAGTTCACACCCCTCTCTGGAATGTGCAAAGTGACTTTTTCACTGAAACCAGACAGTAAGGAAATGGGGCTGGGGCTGGAGATTAGATAAGCGACCCTTCCAGTCATGTTGTATTTTACAATTCTTTTTAAAGTCTTGATGTCACTTTTGCATAAATGCAATGTAGTCGAATTCATATTAAAAGCTCAGTTAATAACTTCAATGAATGTTCATGCATTTGTAAGAAACCTTGCATACTGAAGTGTCTCTATGCTAATTCAATGATAATCCCCTAATCTTTCCTGTTCAGAGTCTAATTTACAGGTTTAAATTGTCTTCAATTGCATATTTTGCACACCACTTCATAGAATTCAGTTTAGTGCAAAGTAAACTGTTAATAGAGTGCCCTACAAAAATGTGCAGAGCACTCTATTAACAGTTTCCCTCTATATGCTAGAGTTTCTTTCCTAACTTTTGGATTTTCGCATGTTTAATGTGGTCCTCGCATGGGCAGTAAAAGTCCAAACGTCAGAGGATAATATTTGCCACACTTTTCTGTTTTGAGACCATGCAATGCTCAGATTTGTGTGTTATAACCTAACTCTGCAACAACTTTCATCCCCAGATGCTATTCTGATTATGTATTTTTCCTCTAGAGAAATTATTGTTATATTGATGATCTAAAATTGTGTCTACTTTGCAAGTCGCTTTGGATAAAAGCATGTACTAAATGCATAAACGTTAACTAAATGCATAAACATGCAACATGTTCAATGGTGATGCTGTGGTCGCTAATGTTCTCCAAACAACCTCAGAGGCCTTCATAGACCAGCTCTGTTTCTGCAAAAAAAAAAAAAAAAAAAAAAGTACTGTTTTTACCAAACACTAGACTGTACTTTCCAGTGTATTTCTTATAGCTCCCAAAGGAATATTGCTACGTTGTGGTGGACTAGTGGTTTGGGCATAGAGCTTAGAATCCTGAGGTTCTGAGTTTGATCCCCACTCCCACAGACTGCCACTCTGGCTCCCTGAGCAAGACCCTTTATAGGGCAGGTTACTGTTTTTGATCACTTGCAGACCCCTTACAAATGGAGTCCCACTCCTCTCTCAGAGGTCTAGAAGCACAAGATCTATATCCAGCCATTGAGCAAAGATATTGCTACATGGCTGTACATCTTATTTTGGCATTTGACCAATTATATGAGCCCTTGAATGATATATGTTCTAATGTAAATTAAGTTGGAAAAAAGTTAACAAGTCAAGAAAAAAGGTAAGAAGTTAATTGAAAAGTAAAAAAATAACAACTAGTTAATTATATTTAGGCTTATAAACTAAAAAATGTAAGTATCAGCATTTTTGCAATAAAAATATCAATTTTTTTATGTTACAAAGGAAGCAAGCTCTTGTCCTGGATTCCAATAACACTACTGGCTTGGAATTTTGATTTTAAAAGTATTTCACTGAGTGCTCTATAAAGGGTAACCCCACACTGCTCCCTGGGCGCCGCACAATGGCAGCCCACTGCCCCCCAAGGGGATGGGTTAAATACAGAGGTAAATTTCTCCAATGTGCGATCAATAAAGTTCAATTATTATTATTAAATAAAATATAGCAGTTTTTATTTATTTATTTTTTTTTTTTACCCAGTATCTGAGTAGGACTGGAGTGAGCCTTAAAGGCCACTAGAGGGAGACACACAACAGCTCATTGTGAAACAGTCCTCACTCTGCGCATGCGTCAACATGTCTGCGCCCATAGCAAGGTGTTAAAGGAGCTGCATCATTGTAGAAGATGTTAAGAAGCAATTTTTAGATATTTTTTATGAAAAATAGTGATTAAAGTTAGTGTTGTTAGGACCACAGGAATGTATCCGACGACAGGAACACCCCGACGGTAGCTTTTAGTTTTACCAGCCCTGCAAAGTTATTGTTTAGTCTGTCAATGATCTTCCTATATGTTTCCTGGGTTCAACCAAATCTTAAATACAAATTTTCAAATTAGCTTTTCTCTTTTTCATAGCAGTAATGCGGAATTTATTTATTTAAATCTTGGCAGATGTTTGGATGACGGTCCTGAAACCCAAAGTCGGTTAAAAAAAATAGAAAGTTTATAAATTAACCAGCTTTTCTTCTTTTTTTACACCCTTGTTTTGCATTTTTTTAATCTAATACAATGTCGATTTTAATTAAGTAAAGTAGTGCAATGTTATAAACCTGGAGTATAGCATCAGAATGTCATTGCCTCTATATTGCATTAGCAGATTAGGTGAAATATAAAATGGCTCACAGGAGACTTGTGAGCCATCTTAGGAGAGGCAGTGAGTGGATAACCCACTTTCAAAAGCCACATTTCACTGGCAGCTTTGTGATCAAGCAGCTCCCTGATCAATATGTCAGAACCCAAAGGCTTCTTCACACTGGGAAACCAGGCATGATGATGAAGCTGCTCTCAGTGGATGAGCTATTCGCCAAAAGATCTCTGCAGGAGCACCTGAAAAAGCTGGAGAAAGAATATAAGGAGTGCTTACAGGCTGTCACCTACAGCGCAACAGAAGATGAGTGCAGCGACGATGAGAAGAAGGCCAAGAGAACTAAAGTATCCCAGCTGGCTCCTCTCATCCAGAGGATCCAAGAGCTCGACAAGAAGCAGAAAGAGATGACAGAGACTGAGATGCTCCTGAAAGGTGAGACCGAAAGAGGATTTTGTTGAACGATCTCCAAACTGTGTCTTTGTTATGTTCATTGTCTGAAGGTTGGCATATACCTAACTTTATTGGTCTGGCAGTGAAGAAATCACTTGTGACATAGGCTTTTCTAAACAAACAGAAAGTGCAAAAATATGCTAAAAATGTATAATCATATCATATATAAAAAAAGTTAAATTTAAATCATGGTTCCCTTTGTCTTTCTGGTGTGATATCATTGTATTTTAGGTAATTTCCGACATATCTTCCCCAGGGTCCTGAAAACATGGCCTGAGCTGCATGTCAGACTCCAGGTTGAATGGAGAACGGGTTCAGTGTCCTCTGTCTGTTTTCAGCAGTATTCTTGTCTTTCTTCATAGATGATGACGCAGCCCTGAGAGAACTGGCTGAGCTGGAAAGAGAAAGCTGTTCACAAGATACTCAGCATCTCAGACAAAAGGTAGAACCACCTGCTGCAAGAGGAAGTAGACCACCAAATATGTCATCTGAAGCTGTTTTAATTTGTAATGTTAACGTCATGTTGACCGTCCAGGTCCTGGAGCTGCTAATCCCAGAGGAGGAGGCGGACATGAGCGACCTGGTCCTGGAGGTCACAGCTGGGGTTGGTGGTCAGGAGGCCATGCTGTTTACCGCTGAGGTCTGATCAAGTTCTTGTTTTGAAGTTCAATTAAACAAATAAAAAATAAAAGCCACTTTGATGTGATGTTCATCCGTTTGTTGTGCCCCCTCCTGAAGGTGTTTGAGATGTATGAGGGCTTCGCTCAGTACCACGGCTGGTCCTTCGACACACTGGAGAGGACGTCCAGTGATTTAGGTCAGTGGATCTCATGTCATCATCGTAGTCTTTTTAATTTCAGGCTAACTTCTAAGAAAGAAATGTAAAACATTTTGATCCCTTATTTCTTGAATCATGTCCTTTCATTTTACTTTCACCTCAACCTTATAGATTTTATGGGGTAGCCTCTGCTACTTAATCTTTTATAGGGCACTCAGTGAAATACTTAGAAAATCAAAATTTCAAGCCAATAGTGATATTGGAATCAAGTACAAGACCTTATTACCTTTTTAACATAAAAAAAAATATTGATATTTTGATGGCAAAAATTGTCAATGTATTAACAAGAAACACCAACTTGCCCGAGTATATTGAGAAAAATAAAGCGTTTCTATAATAAATTCATGAAAAACACTGAGAGTGAAAGAAAAATTTTTTTTGGTACAACATAACCTTAGAGGCATTAATGCTGATACTGACACTTACATTTTTTAGTTTATAAACCTAAATATATTTTTTAATAGGCATATTAACTTTAATCTTTTCTTTTTAACTTTTCAATTAGCTTTTTACCTTTTTTTTGTTAACCTTTTTCTTTTCAACTTAATGTACAGTAGGTAATATATCATTCAAGGGCTCATCTAATTGGTCAAATGCCAAAATAAGATCTAAAGCCATGTAACAGGATCTTTGCTGAATGGCTGGATATAGATCTTGTGCTTCTAGACCTCACTGAGAGACGGGGGGGGGACTCTATTTGTAAGGGATCAAAAACAGTAACTTGCCCTATAAAGGGTTAATAAGTTATTTTAACTACCGTATTTTCACGACCATAAGGCGCACCGTACTAAAAGGCGCACTCTCAGTTATGTGTGTCATTTCTGTATTTCACACACACATAAGGCGCACCGGACTATAGGGCACGGGTTTTATATACAGGTACATGTCCTCTACTACATTTAAATACCTCTACTGCGTATTCAAAAATAGAGTGGGAGCAAAACTGAGTATGTTTGTGCTTTATTCATGTATTTATTACAAAGTATTAATCAAACCCATCAAAGTCATCATCCTCTTTTTGTGAATTAAACAGCTGCGCTAAATCAGACATGCCAGTTTCCCCTTCTTCGCTGTCAGAGTCACTTTCCGTGCCGGGCGGCTCCTCAGAAATAATGCCGGCTTTTGCGAAAGCTTGAACAACAGAGCCAGCAGACACATTAGTCCAAGCATCAACAATCCATCCGCAAACTGTGGCATAACTTGCCCGGCGCTGCCTTCCACTTTTCATGAAACTGTGGTCTCCGTCTGTCATCCATCACTCCCACGCCGTTCGCAGCCTTACTTTGAACGGCTGGTTCACACCGATGTCGAGCGGTTGAAGTTCCTTTGTCAGACCTCCCGGAAGCACAGCGGTCATTTGTTTCACCTTTTTTTTCACATCGGCTGTGAGATGGGCACGCAGGGAGTCACAGATTAACAGCGATGGTGATGCGTGGAAAAAAACACCTGGTCTCCTCACATACACCTCCCTCAGCCACTCTTTCATCATCTCCTCAATGAGGAGATGAGGAGTTCTGTATAAAGCACATACCTGTTCTTTTATACACAATCCACGCCCACACTTCCCCCTTTAACGTTCTCATGGCGGTCTCAACAACGTCCGCATTAACAACACACATAGGGCACGCCGCACTATAGGGGGCGCAGCACATTTTGAGGGGAAAAAAAGACGTTTATATGTGCCTTATGGTCGTGAAGATACGGTAAAAGTGACAGCATCCTTTTAATAGTTTTTATTGTACCTTTAAGTTGAACACATTAAAAACTCTGTTCTTAATCTGTGGCCTAAATGTGAGCAGGCGGACTACGCCACGCATCAGCCAGCATCAGCGGCCCTCAGAGCTACAAAAAGATGAAGTTTGAGGCTGGAGTTCATCGGGTTCAGAGGGTTCCCAAGACTGAAAGACAGGGAAGGATGCACACCAGCACCATGACTGTAGCTGTTCTGCCCCAACCTACTGAGGTACGAAACCAAAGGTTTGATGAAAAAGAAAAAAAAACTGATGAATTGATGTGCTCATTTGTGCTGTCCATACATAAAAAAAAAAAATTAGTTTAAACATTTTGTTTTCTAAATACAATGCATAACAATAGAAACTAGAAATTAATATCAAAATAATGAAAATTGAAGATAATGATGGATATGAATTTATTTATTAGTATTTCTTAATATTATAGATTTTAAGGAACGTTTTTGTTTGTCTTTTCCTTTGAGTGACTGTTTGATTCTGTGTGCTTTGTTGTTTTTTAGATTTCTTTCACAATAAACCCAAAGGATCTGAGGATTGAGACAAAAAGAGCGAGTGGAGCTGGCGGTCAACATGTCAATACAACAGACAGCGCAGTGAGAATAGTCCACCTTCCAACAGGTAAAGTTAGGTTGAACACATTTTTAAAAATCAAACAAAGCCTAACATAACCTTCATTTGTCCCCATATAGAGGACAGGGCAGTATTCTACTGATTAATACTAACTGCACTGTTGTCATAAATCCTCTCAAGGCTAACAGACAGTTTTGCAAGCTTGCATGCATTAGGAGGAAAGCTAATATAAAAAAGCAAACTATAAAAAGAAAACCAGAAAAATCTTCTGCTCTTTAGGTTGAAACAGAAATTAAACATCCTATTTTAACATTTAAAGCAATCCCTCACACTGAGCATCCATATGGCAAAAATGAAAAGGAGAAATTAGGAACGGTGTGCAACATTTCATAACAGAGGTTCTTGAATGTTGCTTTCTGTCTGATAGGTGTGGTTGCAGAGTGCCAACAGGAGCGCTCGCAGCTAAAGAACAGGGAGAAGGCCATGAAAGCTCTTAGAGCAAAGCTATACAGCATGAAGCTGGAGGAGGAGACCAGCAAGCGTCACAACCAGCGCAAAGTCCAAGTGAGATTATATTCATTTCAATTTAATATGATATTTATTAGTGAGATAAAAGTTTACAATGTGAATTACTATTCATGTGGAATGTTTATGATGTGAATTATTTGCTTGAAAAAGTGAATGCAAAAATGACCAAATGCTGCGTTGCTTTCTGTCCCTTTTCCAGATCGGCACCAGAGGCAGATCGGAAAAGATTCGGACCTACAACTACGCCCAGGACCGAATAACGGACCACCGCATTAGCATGACAGTGCACGACGTCAAGAGCTTCCTATTGGGGGAGGAGCTGTTGAACGAGATGAACTCCTCGCTGCAGGAATTCTCCAATCAGGAGACTTTAATAGAGCTGCTGGAAGAGAGCCATCCGGAGGAGCTGTGACTTTTGCCCCAATGGGGAGGAAACATTTGAATGCAGCGCTGATATTGTTCAACTGTACGATTTGAATTCTCATTAATATTTGCCATGTTGCATTGAACTGAGGTGCTTTTTACAAACGGAAAGACCGTGGAACTTGACTACATGGATTTGTGACAATAAAAAGTTTTTCTTTTCTTTTCTTTAAACAAAGGCCTTTTTATGTGTTTACTCTTAAAGTTTTGAAATGTTCTGGTCGTGGGTGCATCAGTCACTTCGAAATATCTGAAGGAAGGAGATATTACATGTTCTTGAAAAAAACAAACATATATCATGATTCAGTCTATAACAAATTGCTTTATTTTCACAAGGTGACCTTTACTCAGCAAAGTGGTGAATGCCAATTTAATGTTACTTTTAAAGATGCAGTAAGACTTTATTTTTCTATGTAGAAAGATTTCTTTTTTTAAAGGTCCCTCTGAGTCAGACTCCAAACTTGCCCTTTTAGCCATCAATGGCATACTTCCATACCTGTCAAGTTTTGAATTTAAAGTTAAGGGCATTTTTCGACATCTACCGCTAGCTGTACAACTATCCCAATCAAGCTCTATTATTCAGTATATTTAAAGAAGTGCATGTGCACAAGAAATCTAAAATAAACCCTTTTAACCAATTGCAAACTACCATTGGGTTAATATAAACATCTGTAATTTAAACATGTCCAAAGCTGTTGCATACAAAAAATTTAAACTTGATTTTTTTTGTTTTTACTCACATGATATAGCAGCACCTATATGCACTGCATACACTGCTTTTCCTGGACAGATTAAAACCACACAATTACCTTTTCCAGACACTTTTTTTTTTATAAATGTAAAGGCCTTTTATGTTGACATCTCTGATCTGTTTGAATGAACTACATCACCCACAATGCCTTTGGTAATGAAGTTGATTAATCGAGCCCAGCTAAAGCCAAATCATCGGTCACATCCACTGATCTCTATTTACTCACTGGATTGCTGATAGGCCGTTGTTAATATATATGGTTCTGTAAAGTCACCAGCTGCCATATTGATACTCCCCAGTTAGATCTGTCGGAATGTAAACCTTATGTGCACTACAGCATCGAACAATGATGATGTTCTCATTTTCAGGTGGGGCTTAAGACATTTAAAACAAAAATAAAATCATCACTTTGACATACACTTGCTGTTCAGTATATTAATATGATTTAAGGTAAAAAAAAATTACATAACATTGCATATTCAGTATGAAGTTTATAAATCATGTAATTTCACACATTATACAAATCAATCCCAACAAAATTATTGTGTTAATGGAGCATAATACTGTACTCAGTATATTACACATGAAATACACACTATTTAATGATGTGCTAAAAGTGCTTAATTGATGATGTACATAAACTGATAGCATTGTTAGGGTAATTACTGCATCCCCTGTTACTGTTAGGCTCAGTAGCTGTGTTTGGTTGTTTCACTGGAAATTACATTTTTAAACCTCAAAAGTAGTGATGGGTTGATGAGATATCATGAAGCATTTATACATATTGCCAAACCATACTGATAGGGTGTTGATACTGCGTCACAGAATAGTGACACCTGTTGAACCTTTAATTAGTTGTAGGTTATATAGTTGTATAGTTATATAGTTTTATTATTTCATATCTACGATTACATTGAAAATATTTGATATTTATAGAGGCAGGTAATAAGTAATGTGAACATTTATCATAATGTGACAACTTCGGTGAACATGTGAATGAGGATGCTTATGAACTAGGATTAAAACCTGATATTTTAAGCAATAAGTACAGGCAAAGCTGTAAACTAGGTGTCATTTTAAAATTAACTTTGGTTCAGGTACATTGAGTGATAACTGAGAGGAATACAACAAGAAAATGAAAACAAATATGAGAGATAAAGAATTTTCCCAAGAAGCTGAAACTTTTCTTTTGCCATTTAGCTGCTCCATAATTCTTGATAATGTTGATAATGAAAAGGTCAGAGATTTTTTTCTTCTTCTTTTAGTTTTTTGACAGATACATGGCGTTGACAGTCTGGTAAAGTTGTAAAGTGGAAATGACCAGGTAATTGTGTTGAATTGCTTTTGTTGTAGTAGAGAAGAGAAACACCTTGGATCAAAAGACTATCCTGACCTGCGACTTGGGTTTGACAGTAATAGAGTTCCTAGTTCATCTGCTACAGGAAGAAGAGGATGCATCAAATGAATAGAATGACTAGTAGCGAGCATCTGATAAAAATCAAACAATTTTTGCTAAGTTATCACACACCAGTATATTTATATGAATGCCAATAATAAAAAAAAAAACCTTATGAAAAAAAAAACAGAATATCATGCATAGGTTTACATTTTTTAACATGAATGTTGCCCTTCTAAGGCTTTCTGAAGGCAATATTGTTTCACAACCCTAAAAAAAACAATATACCAGTTTAATAATAATGGTGTACTTTTTTTAGATGTTTGTTAATTTGCATAGTTGCTCATAAATACATACATTCTCAGAAAATAGTTTTTCTGTATGGAAAAAAAAGTATAAAGCTGACCAATAGTTTCTCCACTATTAAACTGGTATATTGTTTCCATTGGGAATGGTAATTACGACATAAGTGGGTGATAATGTGCAATTTTCAGGTTGAGTTTTAGTATTTCCGATACCACGCGAAGGCAGCAGAGGGCACCAGTCAGTTACAAACTATCGGTCACGTGACTTTCTTGAAACAACACGCTCACGGACGCTGTTTCGCTCCGTGAATCTGCGCATGCGCATCGGCGTATCTGGACCCATCACTACTCAGAAGTATGTGGTTTATAACAGTGGCTGTTCTTGGAAGATGAGACAAAAATGTTTCCACTGTAAATGGAGCTCAAATATATCTCCTTACGACGCCGGTAGCCGGCGGGTTTAGCTAGTGGTTTAATTTGGACACCGAGGAGGCTCATCCGTCCGCCGCCGCTGCTTCCCCCCTCAGCGGGGATTTGGACAAAGCGAGTCAGATGTTGGACGATAGGATATATCATCGGAACTGCTACGTTTTAACAGCGAGGTTAATAATAGAATTTTCAAACTGAATATACCGCTTGGAAAAAGTGACGGCGGCAAGACGGTTTAGGAGGCGAGGGTTTCGATCTCGCACCGAGGGAAGGAGAAGGAAAAAGCCGCGGGGAAGAAGAGAGGAAAGGGGCCGAGATCCTGATGCCGGTGATGGCAAACGAGCCGATCATACTAAATGTCTATGATATGGTAAGAAAAAAGGACGATATGAAGCTTTTATGTCGCTTTGGTTCATCGGTATTTTAGAAACACTTTGTAAAATAAACACTGGGACGTTCTTTTTTTATGAGGAAAGTGAAAATACGGTGTTTCTCTGTTGCTCCCTCTGCTCATGGGTAGTGGTTCACTTAGGGACCGTCAACAAATTTCCGAACCGAACACTATGGGAGAAACAAAAATAAAAACATTTTAACACTTGTTGCCAACTAAAGGAAAACAATAATAATTCTTGCTACTAGATTAAATAAATGAGATGCACACATTTGAATTCAAATTTAAGTCATTTTCATATATATTTTTAAACTTTTCATTCAAATGTTTTGTTTTTCTCCAATAGCTGTAGGTCACTTGACCAATTGAGTGAAAATCTATATGAAATTGATGGGACAGATGAGGCTAATTCATTCGTTATTGTGTTTTAAGCCTTTTCATATTTTTTAGGGTGTATATGTGTATATGTATGTGTGTGTATGTATATATATATATATATATATATATATATATATATATATATATATATATATATATATATATATATATATATACTACCGTTCAAAAGTTTGGGGTCACATTGAAATGTCCTTATATTGATTATTAAAAGCACTTTACTTTTCAATGAAGATAACTTCAAACTAGTCTTAACTTTAAAGAAATACACTCTATACATTGCTAATGTGGTAAATGACTATTCTAGCTGCAAATGTACTGTTTTGGTGCAATATCTACATAGGTGTATAGAGGCCCATTTCCAGCAACTATCACTCCAGTGTTCTAATGGTACAATGTGTTTGCTTATTGGCTCAGAAGGCTAATTGATGATTAGAAAGCCCTTTTGCAGTCATGTTCACACATCTGAAAACAGTTTAGCTCATTACAGAAGCTACAAAACTGACCTTCCTTTGAGCAGATTGAGTTTCTGGAGCATCACATTTGTGGGGTCAATTAAATGTTAAAATGGCCTGAAAAAGAGAACTGCATCTCATTTATCCTGGTCCTGGAGGGCTTTACCATACAAACACGAAAAGCGGCGCAAGTGCAAGTGAAATTCGACACTGCTGTCGGACAACATGATGTAATTTATAAATGTTTGAAATAAGGCTGGGTCTGGATTAGCGAGAAGGTGGGTCCGGATGCGGACCTGCGTCCGCTAATCAGTGACCTCTGACCTAGAGTAACATTAAACAGATCCCAAGAAACCATGTCATATCTCAACTTTATTCTTTTCACACATGTAAATAATTTCTTTTAGCGATAAGTACACTTTATGACAAAGTTTCATGAACTAATGGATTACCTGTTTACACATGTTGGGGTTTTATACCTTGTCATATGGGGGAGAGTAAAGCTGGCAGTGATACTGATGTTAGTAAGAAACAGAGAGCGGACACGGTATGACCAAAAATAATATTTTGTGCTTAATTTGATTCAGTGGATGACATCCACATTACTCTGAGATATGTTAGTGCCTAACACATATGGTATATATCATGTCATTTTTTTTTTATAAAGGCAGTGCGAGGCCTGTTATCCAGATTCACTTGGAAATTAACGTGTCATTGACATTTCCAACTCAAGGTTGTTAAACAGACCCTGTTCTTATTTCTTAACAAGAAACAATTAAGGTCAATCTTTTTTAATCAACAAAAACTCAAACCTTTCGAGATCAGATGAGCTGAAAGAAAAAGAGGAAATAGAAAAATAATTAATAAAAGAATCTTAAAAAATATCTATAAAAAGGCTTAGAATTAAAACAATAAAATTAGTGTGCCTCTTGTGTCTAGTCATGAGAACAATTTCTGACAGATTTTTTGTTATTAGGTCATATGATCTTCAAGCTATTGAAGAAAAATGCAATATGTTGGCTTTCGAACTAATGAAAATAGTAATAAGGCTTAAAATGAAATGAAAATAAGTGTGCCTCATCTTCAGATGTCAGTCAGGGACATGAAATCACAGGACATTGAAGCTATTGAAGAAAAACAACACATTTGAGTAACAAAAACGACTTAAATAAGTGAAAATGACTTAAAATTGAAATGTGTGTACCTCATTTGTGTAATCTAGTAGCACGAATTACTATTGTTTTTTTTTTCATCATTTGGCCACAAGACAAAGAATTTATTAGAGGTATTGTTCTAAGTGTGAGTTCCTGAATTAGTTGAAGCGTGAGCTAGGTGCCCCCAACCCTGTGGAGCTTAAATATCTAATATTGACTTAAAACTAACTTCACCGTGGTGGTTACAGCCTTGTTTTTCATTATTTGAAGGAATAACTACCAGGGACACCTCCAGAAATGTTCAGTGATTGGTGGTGTAATGATAGGATGGCCCAGCAAAAGCACATTGAACAAAGTGTGAAGTGTTTCAATTGCAGCGTTTTTAATCATATTTGTAGCCTAGTAAACTAGCCCCACCCACCAGCGGCCAAAATCATTTTTGCTCGCGAGTGGGTCTAGCCTCAAACAATGTCCCAGGCCCTAGAACTGGCGGGCCAATCACAACGCAGAGATGTGTTTTAAACTTTTGGATGCAAAGTGGGCGGGGTTTTGAGGGCGTGAAGAAAAAGCTGTGCGATGCTGGAGAAAGCACAATAAAGAAGATGGCAACAACTATCAAACAGTTCGGGTTGACTACGCTTTGGAATCAGTTTTGAAAGGATTAGACTTGGGGTTATCATTGAAACGTGAGCAGGAAGAGGCTCTACGCTCATTCACTTTTAAGAAGGACGTATTTACAGACAGGCTGTTTGTTTACACTCCCCCACCAGCTTTCTGTCGCGCTTACTACGTCACAGTCAGTTGTGCTCATTGGTCAGAGTGTTGGCCAATAGGCACAGACATGGTTTGAAAAACAACCGGTTGTTCTCTGATGTCTCATTCGTCAGGGCCAGACTAAATTACACATTTAATCTCACATTTAGTCTGGTTTATCAGGCTATCATATTTGTGCACTATTTAAACATTCTACTGTACGCTAAATGAGAGATGGAAACATATTAGTCAAATAAGTTCTGATCTAGCTAACATTGAACAGGCATGGCTGATCAGCTGCTTTCAGTGTCGCCATCTTCCAGGACATTCCCAGGATGCTTTTCTTTCTCTACATCTACAGACGGCATGCAACCCCACCAATACTAGATGACATGACAGAACATTTACAACTCGCCCAATGGCAATACATTCCGGAAAAGCTGTCTGCATCTTACTCAGATGTGTGGTCTGTGCTAATTTACAGAATCTATGTGTTTATTACAGTATGTGTTATGAAATCGCAGTTTTTGTTGACTGGTTAATTCATTCAGAACTAGAAGATTAAAACAAAGGTCATTTTTCTTTTTTGTTATGTTTTTTTATAGTTTGTTTAAAATATGCATTATAAATTGGTTCAAAAACAGATAGCATTTGGCAAACTGTAGACATTTTGAACCAATTTCAATAATATTTTCTTTAGCTTAGCTTTGGTCCCCCCTCAATAAAGCAGATGTCACTGTTACTAATGCATTTGACTACTTTGTTGCTACTTTGTTGCTGCTTTTTTCTTCTTTTTTTTGGAAATATTCTTTTAATTTTAATCATACTTTTGTTTTATTATTTATTGAAAATACTCTTTTTTTATGGTTTAAAAGAGTGAGAATTCATGTTTTTTTTTTTATATTTATACACAGACAATCAGTTTATGCGATGTTTTAAAAAATGGGTTTTAACTCCACCTCAAGGTTTCTATCTTTTATTGCCTGAATTCATTTTTAAAAGAATGTAATAAACATGTGACATTGTCTAGCTGGGGGCTGTGGGGGAGCTGGTTCATAGGAGTGGCCTCCCCCATCCCCCAGAGCTCCAGATTGCTTTTCTCATTTGAAACTATAGAGATATGAACCAAACAGACTTTTGTAAATGAAAAAAATAATATACAGTAAATAATTTGTGTTTGTATTGTTGGGTGGCATGCACATAATGTTATAATTTTAAAATATTTTTTCACTTATTTCTTTATTACAGTCTTTAATCGGTGCAGCCAAAGCATAGCTTAGTTCTTCTAATTAGACCCATAGAGGAAGATTTTAAACTTATAACAGATGTATTTGTATGCATACTACTAATTGTTTGTTTCAGAAAGGGGAAAATGGTTCAAAGGTAATATTTTCTCTTAATCTGGTGTTGCTATACAAAAAGAAAATCGTATTAGCATATTGAAAGAAGTCCCTTTCTGTCTCTTTGTGACATGTTAAGGATGATGATGAGTCGAAGACTTAAACAGGAAATGATAAAAAAAAGTGCATGTTAAGAAATGAAATGTACACTTCTGTTTTTGGTGCACTGTTGGGCCCAAGTTCAATTTTAGCAACAATGCTGACACCATGTAGTCTTTACTACATTCTAAAGGTTTTTTTATTAATTGATTTGCTGATAAATCTCTCATCCCTGTGTCGTGTAGAATAGATTACATCTAAAACAGTCTTTGATGAACTATAAAATCAAGATCCTCCCTTTTATCAATGGTGAGTTGGATTACTGTAAACTGAAGCTTCATATACATTTCCCATGTTTGTTCCTCATTGCACTTCTTTATATTCTTTTGCCCCTACTCCCATTGGTTGTTTTTGTCTATAAAATGTTTAGTTTTCATATCCCAATAAAAAAAAATTTCTGACATGCTCTCCGTTAGCGCTTTAAGCAAGTAAGAAGGGTATTAAGGTATTCCTATAGATTGATCCTTGCTGTTCAAAGAAAACTGGAGAACATTTGACCATGTCCCATGAATCTTTCACTTACTCTCATTTCTAACTTGTCTTGCTGGCCTCAAAAGTCACTTCTCAGTAAAGTCTAAGAAGTCCTTATCTTCATCTGATTTTTTTTTTTCTACCGCAGCATATTGCAGGGAAGCCAACATGCTAGCTTAGACAGAGCTAAGAGAGGAAGACCTCCTTAGACTGTTTAAAAAAAGAAACGCTTGAAGCGCCTCTTTCTTGCA